TTGTCAGCGGCACTCCTGAGCATTAATATTAGCCCAAAATATTTAGTGAAAATGTGAAAACTTAGCTTTCTTTTGCTCTTTGATCAAAAAAATACTTTATTTTAATCACTCTGTACTTTTGTGCTAAATACTGGCCTCCACAGAGGGGGTTAAAAAAAAGATAAGTAAATACATATGCTGGGTAAATAAATCCTTGTCTACTAAGAATGAAACATAGAACCTGTACTATACTATACTGGTTGAACTGGGATTAGTTTGCTTCTCTTTTTTGCATTGTCATACTTCACTTTGACATGTGTGGTATTTTGGGTTGCCTTTGCCCAGATGCGTACTGTAGTCTGCTGCTGAAACCACTAGGGGGCAGTGCATTACAGTACCATCTCTTGTTCACACTGTAAACACAATACATTGTAACTAATATACATCATCGTCTACAATAATGTCCAAAGGTCTTGAGCCACTCCTCAGTTTTGGAAATTTGGGAACTAGGTGGAGTGATTCACTAAAACGTGCACAAACACACACGGAAATAGAAGTTATTGATTCGATTTCAGTCATTTCTTTAAATGGTCTTCAGGAATAGTTCTATAAGTGCTGCTCCTTCTATAATACATTCAAAGATCCTCTTTAGCTGCTGGGTGCCTTTTGTTCTGTTCTGCAATTATGATCCCACACTGCCTGACTAATGTCGGGTATGCTTTTACTCTATTGGCAGTGTGTTTGGGATCATTGTCATACTGAAAAATGAAGCTGTAGCCAATCAGATCCATTGAGAGTATTTCTGATGAGGCTTCAGTGAACAGCAGACAGATCAGCTGAAGGTCCATATGCACCTCTCAGGTATATATATATATATATATATATGAGCAAATAAATGTTGAACCCCCCCGACCTTATAAATTTGCCTGATAATGCACTTTCACACAAATTGTTCTGTCTGCACCTCTAGCACAGAATTAGCCCTTTTTAAGTATTAACTGCTGTTCACATGGCGCCACCTACTGCTTAAAGTCAACATAACTATATACAACTACAAAGTAAAGAATTGTGTCGGAATCTATTTTCCAATTTAACATTCTGTTGCAGTTGTGGGAAAATTCACTGAAATATAACACGTTATATTAGCAGTTTCACAATAAATCTCTAATAGGATAAGTTTAATGTAAAAAAGCAAAACATCTTCTTTTCTACATATAAATAATACTTTTAAACACTTAAATGATATTTATTTTTTAGTATTTATTCAGGAGTATTTAGGTGTCTATTTGCATGAATCATCACATGTCCTGTATATGTTTTGTTAACGCTTTTTAAACCCCTTTTACTTCCGTTTTATTGCTGAAGTCAGTAAACCCAGGATAAGCTACTTCTATCAAACACTTAATCAAAATCAGATGAAATCTGATTTTAAAGCCACGCCCCTAATCTGCTGATTTCCAAGGCAACCCCGGCACCTGCTCTTGATTGGTGGGCCCGAATCAAACGCGTGCTCAATCAAGCTACAAATAGGCAATTTTCACAACTTCTCGGTCTCTTCGCCTTTCATCAGCAGAGGATTCAAGTATTTTTTGTCTGCAGCCCAAGCGTCAGCTTCACCTTCACCATCATGGTTGAGCAGTTTGTTGGAAACTGGACTCTTGTTAACAGCGACAACTTTGATGACTACATGAAAGCAGTCGGTAAGCTTGTTCATTTTGTGTTTGTTTGATTAAAATGATGCACGCTGTTATCTGTTGTATTTTAACAGTTTACTAATTGGATCCTTCCTGTGTTGTAGGCGTAAATTACACCACTCGGCAAATGGGAATCCTTGCAAAGCCTAACGTGGTGATCAGCATGGGTGATAATGGGTTTATCACACTAAAGTCTGTGACTACATTCAAGACCACGGAGTTCAAGTTCAAGCTGAATGAGGAATGCGACGAGGACACTCCTGACGGCAGAGCCACCAAGGTGGGTCATCCCAGGTCCAGCCAGACTGTATTTTACACACATTTTAAGGTCTTACTAAAGCCCTCTCTATAAACTTTCCTAATTTCAGACCACCATGACAATTGAGGATGGCAAACTCGTGCAGAAACAGGCTTGGGATGGAAAGATGACAAGAATTGAGCGAGGAATTGAAGATGGAAAACTAATAGCTGTGAGTAACTGATGGTTTATCTGTGCCATTAAAGCTGTGTGCTCTTTAAATGCAGTCTGCATGCCTAACATGGCACTGTTGCTGCTCTACAGCTTTAAGTGAATGAATGTCTGACCTTTGAACCCTGTCTCAACAGAAATGTTACATGGATGATGTTGTTGCAGTGAGGACCTATAAGAAAGTAGCTTAATGCACTCTTTGTGAAGAGTTCCTGTTCCTTCAAGACCGTGTGCTACTGCCAAACATGCCAATAAAGTTTAAACTGTGACACTTCACTCTGTCTGACTCTTACTACAAAGTCTTGTATTTGTGAAGCATCATCACGTGCACATTTATTGACTCTAATGTGACTCTGGTGCATAAACTCGAATGTCAAATGCTACTCATCCATTCAATTCAACATCCTTGACCTATTGGGGGTTTAAATGATTGAAAATGTGTGCAGCTCATGTCCTACTCAAAATTTACAGTGGAGCCAGTTTGTCTCTATTTCTAACACTACTTTCAAAGCCAGACTAATTCCCTTCAGTTTAACAGATTGCACTTTAAAAGGCATTTTCAATATGGCTGGTTCAATTCCAAGAATTACATTATAGACTGTATCAATACAGCATGTCCTGCATCCAGATGCCTATCACTATGCAAGCATGCATTCTTTACTAAAAATGCTGTGCCAGCTGCACATAATCAGGTCAAAGTTAAGGGTGCAAAATACAGGAAATGCCTCCCTGTATAGCTGCACTAGTTCAATGTTTGTAGCTGGCATGACCTGCAGTTACCTTTTCTACTAAACTGTTTAGATGTGAAACCTTTTAAAGCAAGAAACCTGATTGGCTTTAAAACACATGATCTTAAAGCTAGAGGGGAAGGGGGTTACAAAGGCCTTTTGTTTAAACAAAGGGAAGGAAATCTCCTAAAATCAGAGTAGCCCTCATATGACAAGGAGGTGAGAAGGCCAAATCCCTGCTTGCAGTTGGAGCAGTGACCTAGTCTTGGTTGCATGGATGCAAAATTTAAGTGAGTGCACATACTTAGTTTTAATTAGGGTCCTTTAGAGCACTACACTGAGGTATAAATCCTCCAAAAGATTTCCAGGCTGTAGTGAATGATTGTGGTAGTCAAGCAACAATGAGTATTGACTAATGACAAGCTACTTTGTTTTGTCAAGTGCCATGTTATGTAAGATGGTGCCATATGCACACAAATGTTTTAGGTGCTTTGCCTGCACAAAGAATGTGTGTTGTGGAGCATTTACTTATATTTTTATAATGCATGCCCAGATATAAATAGAAGGTATGCGGTGAAACCTGAGGTCCTACCAGCTCAAAAAAACAAAACAAAAAAACCCTACAGATTAAGCATGCTTATGGTGGTTGTGGGTGCCAGCTTTAAGAAGCACACTTCCTTTGAAATTGCTTAGCTCCCTTAAACACAATGACATGATCAGCTGCTAAATTCTTTTGTTCTTTTGTTCATTATGAAAGGATGTGGTAGCTGTGTGCACACCAATACTGTAGCAATTATTCCATTTCTGTTTTATTTAAGAAAAGCAGCCTGTTGATTGTGATGGAATAATCGAATTATAATAATAATGGAATAATGACAGGTGGTTTCAGGTCCTACAAGGATCTCATTCATCAGCATGAAGCTGTAAGAAATGACATTATTTACTGTTACACAATAAATCGTGTGGATTTTAAGCTGGTCTCCAACTCTGATTCCAAAATTTGGGACATTCTGTAAAATGTGAATAAAAACAGAATGCAATGATTTGCAAATCTTGCACACAGAACACATATCGTATGTATCAGCTGACTCATTTTACTATTTGTTTCATGATGATGAGGCTGCAAAATGTTTTCAATTAAAATAACATCCGAATCAGTTCATCAGCGGGACTCTTTCACTGTGAAGCCATGCTGTTGTGATAGATGCAGTATGTGGTTTGGCATTGTCTTGCTGGAAAACATTTCACCTGGATGGGAGCATATGTTGATCTAAAACCTGCAAGTGCTTTTCCATAGGCATTGATGCACCCAATTCCTGCACAGCAGGGTTTTAAAATGAGTCCTGATGACAAGCACTCTCTCCTCTTTAGTCCAGAGGACATGGTGTGCATGTTTTCCAAAAAAGTTTTAAATTTTGATGGGTCTGACCACAGAAAAGTTTTCTACCTCCCCTCAGTTCATTTTAAATTAGCTCTTTCTAGAGAAGATCCAGATTTCTAGATGGCTTCTTTATTGCATCATACATTTGTAACCACCATTTGTGGATGGCAGGGTGAACTTTGTCCACACTTTCATTTTGAATAAAATATATGTTTATGATTTTGCAAATCAATGCATTCTGCTTTTATTTTACACACACAACTTTTTTGGAACTAGGCTTGTATTTGCAGTCAACTTATGTAGTCTCATGTATTCATGTAGTTAATCTCATAAGTTCTATAACAATGTGATAATTAAAGATGCAGTTATCCGACAAAATCCAGAAGTAAGTCCTGGAAATCTTTTGCTGCCGTACTTTCTCATTTGAATATTAAATTATGTGAACTCGAAGACCCCAAATGTCTCACTATCACTGCAACGTCTACCTCGCAGATATGCTGCACCCTTGTGGTTGATTCCCATAATAGCAGGCAACTATCGGGCGGCACCACTACATCCTGCTAGGTGGAGAGGGGAGGAGGGGTAACAGTTTAACGTGAATTATAAATAGAGATTATTTTTTTTTTAATTGAAAAATATTATTCAATTTATTCGAATCCATAACATCTCACATCTTTACAATATCTCTATCTTGACACGTATTTATTTTCTTCGTCCAGATGACGTTACGTGACGCAACGCGATCAAACATGGCTGACAAAGAAAACAGAAGTATGGATGTCGATAAGAGAAAGAATAAACCTTGTGGCAGTCAAGTTAAGCCATTAGCTGACGAAGTTAGCCAAAGAAAAGACAACTGGGGCAGCACTGACGGCGAGAAGGACGCCGAAGAAAGCCGTGCCACGACACAATACTGCGAGAAACTACAGGCATGGATGTGGCAGTACTACAGTGGATATGTGAACTGGCAAAGCTGGCTAGCAGCGTCAGCCATGTCCTACCCTTACTGTTTACAGCCACCTAACGGGACTTCGACCGTTCTTGATATCAACTCCCAGCACTGGCATAACAATCCGTTTGGTCTTCCGTTGCCTCCTTACCCACCCGCGGCCGGCTCCTCGAGCGGCCGTGCAGGTGAAGCCATCGTCGGGGCAGCAGTGCCTGCTCAGCCGCAGCAGCAGCAGCCGAGGGAGAATGGAAATGCACCGAGACCAGGTAAAAGCTGCTACAGACAGTATAACCATACCCGATTTTTTCCAAACTCCAAGGGTCACTACACTACAGGCACTGAGCGCCTTTGAAAACAATTGAAAGGCAGTCCGGCATCCCTTAATAAAACGAACTTCTTTGCTTCTTTTCTCCAGGCCGAGAGTACAGTATTCCTTCTCCTCTCCAAAGACTAATGGCTGAGATGGTGGATTTCTTCATATTGTTTTTCATCAAAGCAACTATAATCATCAGTATTATGCACCTTAGTGGAATCAAGTGAGTTTGTGTATTTATGTTTTTCTAATTTTTTTTTAATTTTTATCCCTTTAAGAAGGAGACTCGTAATCAGACTAAGACATTCTTTAAACCTGTATCGTTTCATTCACTTTTCAGAGATGTTTCCAAGTTCGCCATGCATTTTATAGTGGAGGAAATCGATGAAGACACATCGATGGAGGAGCTGCAGAAAATGATGCTTGTTGCTCTTGTGTATCGGATATTAGTTTGTTTTTATGAGGTGAGTGGACACGGAGAAGTTTTATGCTGTTATCTGGAGTCTTGACTAGGATGTTGGTCTTAAGGGTACAGCTGCTAGGGGAACCAGGGGCTGTGTACTCCTGTGTTTTGCTCTGTGTGTAATTATGTCTTCCAACAAACTAATGTGTTAGGCTCAATTTTCCTAAAAGTCACACTTTCGCTCTGATAAACAGTTTGATTACACATCTCACGTCATATGAGGGTCTGGTTGGTAAGTGTCCGAGTCCAACAGTGTTACATTTACTTCAAAGAAAGTTTCACTAACTCTGACTAACAGCAGCTAATGGCGGCAAAACTAGCAATGCTTACTGCTAGAAAAGTCTGAGATATCAACTCACCTCAGTGTCGCTGTCGTCAGTCAAAAGTGAGCTTCGCTGACTCATTGACTCTTATCGGAGTCCTTTCACAAGGTTTCACAGCCTCCTCCAACATAAATGGACTACAACACCATCATATCAACAGCTTAGGTAGCAGACTGAAAGCTTCCACTCACTACAGACGAACAGCAGCCAGAGTTGTTTGTTCTACCGTGGCCACCGTACTTAGAGTTAAGCACTTAAGGAAGAAGACTGAACTCAGTCGACTGCAATTTGCTGACATCTAGCAGTGATATTTTACCGACCGTAACTTGTTAAATTGTTTGTGGAAAATGTATTTTATGTTTGGTAGCTGATACACGTTTCTCTTTTTAGATCATATGCATTTGGGGAGCAGGAGGAGCCACTCCCGGAAAGTTTCTCATTGGACTCAGAGTCGTGACATGTGACTCATCGGTTCTGGTTCAGCCTAACAGGGTTCTTGTCGTGCCAGCAACTAATGTCTCTCTTTCTGCGTGAGTATTTATTTATTTATTTATTTTAAAGATTATCCATCAGAAGTCACAGCGTGCATGCGAACAGCCTCACATCACATAACGGTACCGTTTCTGTCTCCCTCTTCAGATCGACTGTTCGAGCCTTGAATAAGAACTTTTCCATTGCCTTCTTCTTCCCAGCCTTCATCACTCTTCTGTTCTTCCAGCACAACAGGACTGTGTATGATATGGTTGCTGGTACAATTGTTGTCAAGCGATCCAGGGCCAGATGATGCTGCACAGAAGAATGGTCCCACAATAACTCTGAACAGGCACTGAGTGACAGTTTGTTTTCTTTTTAAAAATATATAATGTCGACTGAACTCAGACACCTCCCTTTCAAGGTATTGTCAGAGCACAAGAGAATCGGGATGGTTGCATTGAGTTTGAGACACACCAATATGAACTGTTTCAATTTGGATTGTTGTGTTTCTGACACACACACTGTATTTCTGCATGTATGTCTACATGCTGCTTTCAGAATCAGGTCCTGTGCAAGGAAAAAATGATGGTATCTGCTAAGTCTTTATTGACAGAAGATTCGCTTCCTTTTTAAAATTGTCTTTCAAGATTAAGGGTGACTGTCTAACTTGGATAACTCAGTATTTAAAGTTTCAGTAGGCAAGGAAACCAGAGAAGACAGGATTTTATTTAAAAGAACACCTTTTTTTGTTCTGTTTAGCCACCCCCCACTTTAAAAAAAAAAAAAAAATTAATAATAATATATAATAACATTTTGCACAAGTCCTTTAATTAATCAATCACTTTGTCATTTGTTACTTACTTAAAATGATCTCTAATGCACGAACATTTCCCCTTTTAAGGAGGAGCAGAGTCTAGGAGATAGATATGTAGTTGGCATTAACATACACAGCTGTTGACAGTGACACTGGATGTAAGTCAGATCACCTAATTTTGCTTTGAATCGTTTACTTTTCAATTGCAGTTTGACAAGGCAGATGGGGAGTGCTAAATTTCTGTCCCATCTAAAGGTGCTGACGCTGTCTCAGCAGCAGCTTAACCAGGCATTAACAAGTGCTCATGTCATTTTTCCAAGCGTTTATTTTCTGGTCATTTCCTGGGGGATGTGCGTTGTGATTGGCCGAGGTCTACTGGGGCAAATTTTATTATTATTTTTTTTTTTAAAAAGCTTGACGACAGAGCTGGGAGAAGGTGCAAGACTCTAGTTTCCTTTCCATCTGCTTGAGTTATTATGCAGTTTTTTCTAAAAACATTTTGCCTGCAACAGGTTTAAGTTGCTAATCCTGCATTAATGAGATTACGCCATCAAGTATGTCTTTGTATTAAATACTTACCCTCGGACCTGTATGCTCAGACTTAAAATTTTTGATCATTGCTCACAGTGGGAATCATGCATTAATGATAACGTGTGATTATTACTGCTTTGTAATAGCTGATTGTAGTATTATCATTAGCACTAACATTTGGGAGAAATTAAAGCAGAGGAGTAACAAATGGAAAAACACCACATGGCTGGATGGATGATACCACAATATGCAAAATGCCCTATGATCTGTGCAAAGGTGATTGAAGCTGCCGTGGAATCAAAACCACTTAAGATCTTATGATAATCCCTACTAATTGGCCTAATTTAATAACAGATGGCATTATCAAGTGTTTACACATTTAATTATGAGAGCTTATAGAGGAAATGTACTGTGACAATTTCTGCTATAAAAAATGCATTAATGGACATTTTCTACTCCAGTTTTCTTGATCAAAGACACTGTTAAGCATTTTCTTCTGTGTGCTAAAGTACCAAAAATGCCTGCTAGATGTGCTGTGATGAAATCTACTGTGTAACTTGATGACAATCTGTAAATGGGCCGACTTCAGTCGTGAGAGGATTACACTGTGTAAAAATGGCAGCTTACTGATCCTATTTTTCTTATTAATAAGACTTTGGCTCCACCTGTTGTACATCTGTTGGTCTTGCAGACATCAGGCTTCTGCCTCTTGTGATGAATCACGGAGATCACTACACGGTAACATGCCTACATTTGTCTCTGTGTGATTTTCATTCATCCACGCAGAGAACCAATCGCTGTGTGCCCGTGACATGAATCAATCCGACTCTAACAGCAGCTTGACTCAGCTTGTTTTTAAGACATTTCTCCCATGCTTAGACTTTTCTGGCATGTCACATGTACTCCGAGGGGACTGTGGAAGCGCCAAGTGTTGGCAACTGTTGACATGGTGATTGTGTTAGGCCCACTAAGTGGCAGTTTCAGCTGACAGCCACAGATGGTACTCCCAGATTACAGAGCGACTCCCCCATCGCCCCC